ATGTGATGCTTTTTGAAGAACATTTTAAAAAGAACAAATAAATAGATAAATAAAATAAATTTTATTTTTTTTAAAAAATATTTAATTTTTGTAAAATTTAAATTTGCATTTTGTTTAAAACCTGGAGCCTCGTCTTTCTCCTCCCACAGAGCCTTGTCCCACTCACCCCATCTCTTCAGTGTTTTAAAGGGATGCAGTTGATCTCCACAACTCCTTTCTGACCAAAGGTAGATGTTTTGGGAATGAGTGGTGCCACCCGCATTTAGGGTGTCACCTGGTGCAGTCCATGCCCCCTGCTCCCCCTTATGACACCCCTGGTCCCTTATGCATAACACTGAATTACACACTCTCTTAGGGTGTCACCTGGTGCAGCCCACACCCACTGCTCACCCGAATGATGCCCCCAATCCCTTATCCACAACACACCATTACACACTATCTTAGAGTGTCACCCGGTGCAGCCGGTACCCTCAGCCCTCCTCCTAATGACACCCCTGGTCCCATATATCTGAATTGTACACCCTCTTAGGCTGTCAATCCGCACTCCTCTAATGATGCTCCTGGTCCCTTATGCTGAACACTGAACTACACACCCTCTTAATGTGTCACCTGATGTGATCCACATCCTCTACATTTCGTCTCAGTATGCCCTGGTCCTTTATGCATGACACTGAACTACACACCTTCTTAGGGTGTTTGGTGTGGCCTATACCCCCTGCTCCCCCTAATAACTCCCCTGGATCATTATGCCTAACACTGAATTACACACCCTCTTAGGGTATCACCTTTTTGGTCTGCACCCCCTGTTCCCTGTAATGGCGCCCCTGGTCCCTATGCTTAACACTGAATTACACACCTTTTAAGGGTGTCACCCAGTGCAGTCCATACCCTCTCCCCTCTCCCTAATAACACCCCTGGTCCCATAGGCCTGAATGTCACACCCTCTTAGGCTGTCACCCAGTGTGATCCGCACTCCCCCTAATGATGCTGCGGCCCTTTATACATAACACTGAATTACACATCCTCTTAGGCTGTCACCCGGTGTGGCCCCCACTTTCTGCATTCCCCCCCCCCATGATGTCCCTTACCCTTTATGGCTAACACTAAATTACACTGCCTCTTAGGGTGTCACCTGGTGCGATCAGCACTCCCTTGAATGATGTCCCTGCCCCTTATGCCTCACACTGAATTACAC